ACTTTTGTCTCACTTACTGAACTGCGACTTATCATTACTTCTCTCCAAATGAGGCAACAGCTTGAAAAGAAAGTTATTGCGTTTCAATGTTCTTTTAACGGTCGATTTCAGTCAAACTAAAGCAATAAGCAAAAATAAAGCAGAGAGAGAGTAATCCAACCCACACAGTTTCTCTCCCACTGCCTAAATAATGCCCGAACACATTCCCCCTCCACCGTGAGAGCGCTCAGCATCCCATGTTATCAACCCAAAACTCCGAAAACACAAACTGCCTATCGGCGCACACAATTACACATTGTGACTTTAGAGCTCTGCTGCAGAATGGAGATGCGCAACATGCTGAGACAAACTGTGTCATTAACAAAGACCAACAGATGGCGGTTCTGGAAAGAGCCCAGATATGAGATACTACAGGCAGAGGAAGGAACTGGTTTGGGCCAGTAATGGCAAATTGCACTAAATAAAATAGCTCTTGTGTGTCTGTGAGATCAACAGATCCAACAAGTCACATAACATCTTAACATACTCACCGATTTTTACTGAGGCGATTCCAAAGTCGGCCATATTAACACAAAAGTGCTACTCGCGTGTGTCAAGATAGGAGTATTTCATGCAAAAATGAAATTCGGTCCTTATTTACTCACCCTCATATAGTTAGTGAGGTTATATAGTTAGTATGCAGTAATTTTTTTTGGTCAAAAATCATTATTTATTAAAAATATTAACCCTTTGCTGCTTTTAAATCAAATATTACTGCTGTGGTGGTAAACTGTCTTTTGGACCTTGAACTGGTTACCAGTAAAGTCCATTATATGGAGATAAATGTGGGAATGTTTTCATCAAAATTCTTAATTTCTTTTCGACTGAAGAAAGATAGACATGGATATCTTGGATGACATGGGGGTGAGTAAATTATCAGCAAAAGTTTTTTTTTAAAAGTGAACTACTCCTTTAATCGTGATTTATCACAAAAAAAATGTGTGATTAGTTATTTTTTGTAATCGATTGACCACACTAATTATGCACTAAAGAACAGTTTGTCATTGCTTTATATATATATATATATATATATATATACAGTATATATATCTTTGAAATAATACAGCTGCTCCAGGTTACATTGAAAATGAAAATGCATGTTTTGCATTAAAGTTAATCAAGCCTACACACACGGATTGTTTTTTTTTTTTAAATAGTGATTATCACCTTCAATGAACTTTTAATTAAAATCATCAATTTTTAAATGGTCTGTCTTATTACTTTAATTTTATTCAGACAGTACAAAATGCTACAACAATGCATAAATACTTCACGGTTTAAATAATACGTGATTTTTGTTCACATTAAAGCGATGAGATATTTTTTCCACCCTCAAACATGCCCAAAAGACACATGCTCGTTATGAAATCAATGTGGCGTGGTTCATCCAGGGGGTTTAAATGCTCAGGCATGGTTATATAAGACATCATAATCCTCTGTTACTATGGTTACCACAGCCCCAACTGACTTTAAGAAATAAGGTATGCATTCAAACCGTCACTCAAAAAGCTTGTCCTTTTGATGCCAGCAGTCGTTGTCTGCGGATAAACGCAATATTGTCGCGCTTGGCATCCTCTTTGTACCGTGGGAGCATCTTTCAGAGCTGTAGCTAAGCACCCATCCTTTCCCCTCCAACAATCTTGTGTACATGTATTTTAATGTAATATGCATATTACACCTCAGTGCCGTAAAGTCTACGCCCTGGTGCTCAGATCAGATGTAGTAGTGGGAGGAATCATATTTTGGGACTTTCTCAGGGGCTTAATGTATGTTTTCAAAGACAAATGTGAACAGTGTTACATCTTTGTGTTATCATATATTTTCATTGCCAGGCTGCTAAGCCAATCTTAATGAAAACCCCAAAACACACTGACAGAAAATTGTGGCAGAAAGTGTCTCACCTTGCTAAAAGCGTTGAACACACTGAGACACGGCTTTGCCTGAGCTGAATAAATAGTTAGTATGGCATTGGCGTTTCATTATTGTGCCTGTTGACAGAGACAATGAGCTTTGGGGATTGGGAGAGGAACAGCAACGCAGTTTGCAAGGTCTGAGGGGGCAGGAGACAAACTGTGCTGTGATGAAGGTTTGACAGGTGGAGGTCCTCTTATTTCCCTTCAGAGCAAAAGGACTATGCGTGTATATGCGTTTCTGTGTGTGAAGGGCACGCCGGGAGAGAAAGAAAGAGGCTGAGGGAAATATAAAAGAGATAAAGAAGAAGGTTGTGACATTGGACAAAATAAATGTGGAGGTCATGTTGGAGAACAACGGAGATGATGATTTTAGAGCCTTTGAACACAAAAGACTACATTTGTATAGTACGTTTTCAAAAGTCAGTTTAACATAGTTTTACTGACACAATGTGTGTCTAGACTTTATGTATATACATCAATAAACCAAAACATTATGACCACCAGACTAATATGCTATTGGTTCTCTGCTTGCTTTCAACAGCGCCGACCCGCTGAGGCATGGACCCCTGAAGGTGTCCTGTGGAGCCGCTGTGGATCAAACTAGCACATCCCACAGATGATCAATTAGATTGAGATCTGGGAAATGTGGAGGCCACGGCAACACCTTGAACTCTTCATCATGTTCCTCAAACCATTCCTGAACAATGTGTGCAGTGTGTCAGGATGCATTATCCTTCTGAAGGAGACAACTTCCACCAGGGAACACCACTGCCATGAAGGGATGTACCTGGTCTCCAACAATGTTTAGGTAGGTGGCAAACAACATGGCCGGACCTAGGGTTTCCCAGCAGAACATTGCCCATTCTCATACTGACACTTTTGCCAATGCCTATACATCCAACACACATGGCACCCTTTAGCATCAATATGAGATTTAGATATATATGGGCCAGAAGGCGCCTCCTAGTGGTCTAACCCTAACCCTACCCCAGACCTAAACCTGCCAATAACCGAAGCATGTCATATTGATGCTAAAGGGTGCCATGTGCACTGGATGTATGCGCTTTGGCAAAAGCATCACTATATGACGCCTTGGGATGAGAATGCGCTCATGTGCCCATTGTTGGCACTTTTGAAAGTGGGCAGGGGTCATCATAGGCACTCTGAATGGTCTGCAGTTAATGTGTTGACACATTCCTGAATTGAGGGGAAAAACATAAACCCAAGAAATATATTCACTGGGGTAAAAATGTGACAACTAGCCCCGATATGTTTTCCCTACTGGCGACTACTGCTTTTAAACAACGCATTCTCACCCCAAAGCGTCACCTTTGAACATGCTTCAATATTTGACGTTTTAGGCGCCACTTACATGACGCGATCCTACGGCGTCATCTAACTGACGCTAAAGGAAAGCTTCAGGTAGATGACGCGGTTAGGTTTAGGTGTGGGGTGGGGGTAGGGTTACACGCGATCCTAGGGCGTCATCTAACTGACGCTAAAGGGTGCCTAAAGCGTCAGACATTGAAGCATGGTCAAAATGCTTCCCAAGGCGTCAGTTAGTTGACGCCTTGGGGTGAGAATGGGCTGTTTTAAAAGCTCACAAACTGCAAGTTGAGTATGATGTCTCAGATATTATGAAACAAGACCTTAAATTCAAGTAATTATCATTAATTAATTTCCTCCCATAACCATCATTAAAATTTTATGTGGCTTGTGCCACAGTGTTTATCCCTCCTCGGACCACTGCTAAAGTCTCACCACTGTTTACCCAGAGCAACCCACAGGCCTATACTCTAACTCATGGTCAGAAACAATGCTCAGGTAGGCCGTGGCATTTAACGATGCCCAATTGGCACTAAGGAGCCTAAAATGTGCCAAGAAAACATCCCCCACACCATTACACCACCACCAGCAGCCTGCACAGTGGTAACAAGGCATGATGGATCCATGTTCTTTTTCTGTTTACGCCAAATTCTGACTCCACCATCTGAATGTCTCAACAGAAATCGAGACTCATCAGACCAGGCGACATTTTTCCAGTCTTCAAGTGTCCAATTTTGGTGAGCTCTTGCAAATTGTAGCCTCTTTTTCCTATTTGTAGTGGAGATGACGAGTGGTACCCGGTGGGGTCTTCTGCTGTTGTAGCCCATCCGCCTCAAGGTTGTGCGTGTTGTGGTTTCACAAATGCTTTGCTGCATACCTCGGTTGTAACGAGTGGTTATTTCAGTCAAAGTTGCTCTTCTATCAGCTTGAATCAGTCGCCCATTCTCCTCTGACATTCAGTTTGGAGTTCAGGAGATTGTCTTGACCAGGACCACACCCCTAAATGCATTGAAGCAACTGCCATGTCATTGGTTGATTAGATCATTGCATTAATTATATATATATTAAATCTTTTAGTACATTTGGTCATATTGCACACCTCTACATTTTACAAAAACATAATTAGTTGTGACATTATTTATGAGTTTGATCTTATGATTTCTTCTTTGTTCCTTATTTATATTCTCTTATTTCTATTTATTGATTAAGAGTCAGACAGATTCGGGCAGACACCTCACAAAGATCATGAGCTTGAAATAAGGAAATCCAATTGACGGAGCGTGATTAGGAGAGGAAGTGAGAGAGGCTCAGGAGAATGGCAGAGAAGGTGCCAGGAGGACATGGAGCCGAGAGCTCACACACTGCTCTGTTCTGTGACCTGCTGCATTTAACGGGATTGGCTGATGGACTGGGGACTGAGCCATTAATCTTTCTTTCTTCTTATCCAATTACAGCACCTATAGGCTACAGCGGAGCAAAGCAAAGTGGGAAAAGCAGAGCCAACTCACAACATCCAGAGGGGATGTAAAGATACAGTTCACACCAAAATGATAATTTACTCATTATTTACTCACCCTTTCCAAAGTCTTTCCAAACCTGAATGTTGTGTTTGTTTTTTGTTAGTTTTTTTCAGTGGAACGGAAAAGTGGAAGTTTTTGAAGAATTTTTTCGCAGCTCTTTTCCATACAACAACAGTATATAGTAACAGGTTCATCTAGAAGAAAAAATCCTAAAAAAGTTAGTCAATACAACTATATTTACACTATATTCCAAGTCTTCTGATGTCATATCTTAGCGTCAGAAACAGATTGAAAAGTTGTTTTCCCCTTTCCCTTTGATTTTGTGCCTAGCACAAAATATATACACAACATATTTCTTATTTAATTTAATTCTAAAGTCATATTGAGAGGGGAAAATAGTCCAGAAAAAATGGCTTTGGTGCCAAAAATTTACAAGTATGCCTCATGATGGAAAAATATGTCCCGTCTATGATGTGATCCTTTTGATCTAGTGAATATGATCTAGTCAGTTATGATCGGTTTGAGGTTATTAGATCATGAGAGGTGGTAGAATGGGAATAGTGGAAAGCAAAGCAGTGTTTAAATCTGCTAGACACAGTAGACAATTAGGCTTAAATGCTGCCATTATCTGTATGGCCCAGCTGTCTTTGCAGAATGATTTCTGGTGGTATCAGATGGTTTTGGATGAGTAATCAGAGATCATGCTGTTTGGCGTAGGCTCCAACAGAGGAGCATTACAGAACCGGCTACACGCTAGTGGACAATATCACTGTAATGGAAAAGAAAACTAGTTTCCCTCCTATAAGTATCAACATTTAACTTTTTATTGATCATTGATGTTTTTTATCATAGTGCTGTTGCCGCTTTAGAGCAGTTTTACACATTAGACATGGTAAAATCACTGTGACGGACAGCCTCGAGTGGCCTATTGCTTTATTTGAGAACAGTCTGAGCATACTAATAAAATCTGCGCAGAACAAACAAACCTGATGTGGTAATAAGGTTAACAGGATGTGCAGGCACTTTACTTGTTTTTTCGCTTCTGTTCTCCATGTATAAAGTCTTAATTAGGTCATTCAGAAAGGGAGTTATTGGATTATGGGAGCAAATGCAACATCTTATTTGTGTGGATCAGATGTGTTATGGCCCTGAGTGTTGCATTTATTTGTTTATAGTGAACGCAGCATGAATCCTGACATCCTCCTTATAGACGGCATTATTCTTTGTGTACAAACGAGCCATTTTTGTTATCTCCTGAGAGGTTAAATCTCTGTCTCAAGGGATGTGCTCTTTCTGATTCTGACTCTTATAATGAGCAGAAAATCATCAGTGTCTTTTTTTTTTTTTTGAAAGGATCCTCCAGGTGTGGAGGGGAGCGATTATTCACAGTAATGAATATTGTGCGTTCGTCAGTGCCACTTTATTGCAATTTCCCCCTTTTACCTCAAAGACAACATGCAACATCAGCATGAAAGCTTTTTGATGTAGAAAGGCGTACAGTGATGCAAATTACAATTTACAAAAACCAGCTTCTCAATCCAGGATCACAAAAACTGCGTTTATATTTTATCTTTTGGGCTTTTAGCTTGATTTAAAGCCTCGTTTTGTACATCTTTGCAAGACTACCCTGTAAATAAGTTCTGACGTTCAGCTTTGCTCAATGCATTAACTGACGGATCAATGTCATCGGTCACAATTGCTTGCCCTTTTAAAACATAATGGCTTCTGTGTGTACAGCAGACAGTGATGTGATTTTATATAGACAGGTGCTCAACTTTGAGAGGTTTTATCACAAAAGCACGGCATTTTTAATACGTTTATTGCTGTTATGGTTTATCTTACTGTCACTTTATTTTTGCAATGAAATAACAAGAAGAATACACCGGATTACCTTTATTAAAGCAATAAATGAAGGTTATGGCATTATTGTTGTTTTATTTTTCTGTGAAACACAGGGGAAATTTTGAAGAACCATATGCCATGTTTAAAACTTCTCCAAGAAAGACAGAAAACCATAAGTAAAGGTCCAGAGGGCATATTTTATCATATTTTAACCTAAATTTGCACATGGTTTGTCAGTATATTAGAAATACCACATAGACATATGAAAAACATTAAAAACTATATTTTCACTGGGGGGTCTTTAAAACATTATAAAATTGTAAAAAATAATCTGAATGTTTGGAACTTTTTTCAAAATTTTCAAAACTTATCGTTGTTTCAATACAACAATAGAAAAACGATGGGGATGTTCTCAGAAATGTTATTTTTAGCCGGGATGTTTCAACAGCATCTTCGTAAACCGATGCTGTTCATTGCTCTCTTGCACAATAAGATTATTATTACGCAGTCTAATTATGTAAATGTGCTACGACTCTATTAATGAGCCCAGTATTAGTCTTTATCCTTTATCAGATGCGCACAGTCTATTGTTGGGACAGTCCTGTTATGAGTGTCTGCACTAATTGGCTCCCTTATAAGAGAAACCTGTGGGAGACTGGTTTCGGATTGTCAGATGTGTTGAACAAACAAACAGCAGAGCCCGGCACGGCACAGAAATAGCTGGAAACAAGCCGTCCCTGAGGAGCTTTCAGCACAGCCACCAGGAACAGCAGAGACCAGATGAAAGCTGGGAGAGATTCCCTGTCCAACATCACAACGTGTTGACGGAGTGGAGTGCTTGGGGATTTAGCCTCTCGTGC